TCCAAAATGTTTTCCATTGTGGTTTTTGTATATTTGTAAAAAAAATTTTTTTTTTTTCAGCCACAAATATGTATCACTAAAATATATTAATTAATATTTCAGATTCTAAAAAATTAAAATTTTACCTGAACTACAACAATTCAGCATTGACACCCTAAAGTCGCAAAACTGTAATGAATATTGCAGGTGTGTGATCAGAGTTATTGGAGTCACCAAATCTGGAAAACTAAATTAAAATCACTCACTATACTGCATGATTAGGGTTTCTATTTGAATAAGGGTTTATTCAAATTATTTATTTGTTTTACTTGTTATGAATTTGAGTATTTGAATTACATTGGAAGTTTATTCAAATAAAATGAATAATGAATAATTCAAATAATTCAAATAATTCAAATAAAATAAATAGTTTGAATAGTTTGAATAAAACGAAAAAAAAATAGTTCGAATAAACAATTCGAATAATAAAAATGAATAAACGAAATAAAATGAATAATTCAAGCGAAACAAATATTTGAATAAACAAATGATGATAACAATTCAAATAATAAACGAATGATGATAATAATTCGAATAATAATGATAAACGAATGATGATAATTCGAATAATAATGATAAACGAATGATGATAATTCGAATAATAATATTAAACGAATGATGTCAATTCGAATAATAACAATAAACGAATGATGTCAATTCGAATGATAAACGAATGATGTCAATTCGAATAATAATAATAAACAAATGATGATAATTCGAATAATAACAATAAACGAATGATACAATTCGAATGATAAACGAATAATGTCAATTCGAATGATAAACAAATGATAAAAATTCGAATAAATGAATGATAAAAATTCGAATAATAAACGAATGATGTCAATTCAAATAATAATATAAATTAATGATGATAATTCGAATAATAAACAAATAATAATTCTAATAAACAAATGATGTCAATTCGAATGATAAACAAATGATGTCAATTCGAATAATAATAATAAATGAATAATAATAATAATAATAATAATAAACGAATGATGATAATTCGAATAATAATAATAAACGAATGATACAATTCGAATGATAAACGAATGATGTCAATTCGAATAATAATAATAAACGAATGATGATAATTCAAATAATAATGATAAATGAATGATACAATTCGAATGATAAATAAATGATGTCAATTCAAATGATAAACGAATGATGTCAATTCGAATGATAAACAAATAATGTCAATTCGAATAATAACAATAAATGAATGATACAATTTGAATAATAATAAACGAATGATGATAACAATTCGAATAATAAATGAATGATACAATTCGAATAATAAACGAATGATAACAAGTCTAATAATAAACGAATGATGATAACAATTTGAATAATAAACGAATGATGCCAATTCGAATAATAAACGAATGATAACAATTCAAAATAAACGAATGATGATAATTCGAATAATAAACGAATGATGGTAACAATTTGAATAATAAACAAATGATGATAACAATTTGAATAATAAATGAATGATGTCAATTCAAATAATAAATGAATGATACAATTCGAATAATAAACAAATGATGTCAGTTCGAATAATAAATGAATGATGTCAATTTGACATTGTTTGATTCAACAAAACTCACAATCAGTATACTGTAGTTTGTGTCAGTTGGCTTTTTATTGATAATTTAGGTATAATTTTTATTATATTTAAATTATTCAGATACATGTATTCAATATAGTAGAGAAAATACATCAAAATTTAAATAGAGAAAAACTAGATAATTTAGCATCCAATAATCCTTTCCTGTCTTGTATAATTGATCTTGACAATATACATTCAGTTTTATGTGAAATTTTCAACAATAGAGAATTAAGAGCAATGATAAATGTGAAAAGGTGGAGAAATGGAAATACACAAGACCTGAATTTGAAGCATGGGATGAAGACCTAGTAATATCAAATGATGTGAATTCTTTACAAGCACCACCTCCAATTGATTTAACAGGCATAAAAAAGTTAGAATATAAATATATTTTGAAAATGTTTCAACATTTGTAAGTAACCTATTACATCAGAAATTTTTGTTGTAAAATTGCATTTTGTGTAATATATAGCAAGATTACAAGTTCAATGTAATTCTTACCAAATTTTATATAGGGGCTTGCAAGCCTGTTTCCTAATGTAATTATATATGATTTGTCAAAAAACCAGTACTAATCAATCCTTATATTGTTTATTTAGAAAAGTACTTTGGAGTCAAAGAAGATATTGAGAAATGTCTAAAGGTGGGAAAGATATATTAGAAGACATATGTGTTCATAAAGTAGTGCATGAAATTATGTATGAAAGTGTTCAAGAACTCAGTGATCAAATACAGCTTGACTGGTAATTTATTTTTCGGCTTTTAAATTCATTCATTTTATATTATTTTATTAATTACTTGAAAATAAATTTAAGTCTACAAAAATGGCTGAAGATGGAAACAATAACGTTAATTGTGATTATGATAGTTGGTGTTTGTGGTTATCTGGAGCAAAAAGGCAGAATTATATCAACTTGTTCAAATCTACTAAGAAGCCAGATTGGATGGCATCCTACTTATTTGAAGATGATAGATATGAATTCATTTATGGAGAAGCAGCAGGTACCATCAATCATGAGAGCTGAAGAAAATTGAAGAAAATTGATTAGGTTTCTATGTCATTCCAAAAATTGTTCAAGAAAAAGATACAAATAAATTTTATGTCAATATTCAATGAAGAAGTTGAAAACCTTTTAGAAAACATTTCAAGATTTGGAATGTTAACATCCAGTAAATTTTCTTTATTAGAATCCTTTATTGTAAAATACAGTATATATTTATAAATGTCTTCTTTTTTTATGTCTATAGGCGGTGTATAAAATTTGCTGATCAATTTTTGTGCATGTTGCACAAAATTTTTTGAGGATTTGTGCAAAAGTTGTTTAAAAATTGTGCATGTATTGTAAGTAGTTTAGTTTTTTGATTTTTTTTTTGTGCATTATATATATATAAAAATGTAATAGTGCAAAAATTTCTCATTGAATTTGTGCACTATATTTAAAATTTTTGTCTCATTGTGCACAGTTTAAGGGGTTGTGCACACGAATTTTATATACTGTCTATAGGTACATCATTGAAGATAATATATTATGATACTCCTCAATTTGGAATTGGAAGAATACTGGAAATTATAAATGTAAAAGTACCACTAAAATTTGGTTATAAAACCTATGTTGTAAAAAATTATCTTTTAGGATTATTAATTTTCCAAAGAGGAATTTTAGAGTCTCTTAAATGTTTAAGGAATCTTGAGAATTTAATTGAAAGAAAAATGAATGTGTCTGCAAATACTTTATATATACCACCATTAGAACCAGAAGATGATGTATTTTCATCTCCAATGAAGAAAAAGAGGCAGAATTATAAATTTTTATTCATTCAATTAAATTTTTAAAAAGATAAACAAAATTGTTAATTATAAATTATATTGGGACATATACACCAATTTTTATGTTGTGTAATGTAATTTTAAACGAAAAACCTTATTATTATTATATATAGCTCAATTAAAGTGGTGACATCTTGATTATGTAACTCTTCAACTTAACTCTTGTTCCATCCAATTGCATCTGCGAATTTGACACACTTTACTTCGCACCAACTTTTATACCATTGAAAAAGGGTTGTATAGTGAATATAAAAGAAATTAGAAACTCAAAATATGGAAAGATTATAAAAACAAAGCAGAAGACAGAAGATTTGTTAAATTTACTGTTCTTAAGTAATTTTTTGATGTATAATTTTTTAATAATGACCATTATAGACTTTTGATTTACATTATATTGCCAATTTGCATCTGAAAACACTTTTTCCTAA